ATACAATTACTTTACTATGCAATTTAAGACAATTGTTTTAATATTTAAGTTTTTTTTTATTCAGGGTCCCTTTATAACATATGCTACAGGCCCTGCACTAGCTTAATTCGGCACTGCCCCTCGTCATGGCTAAAGAATCCTTGTAACGGAGTGTGTTGTTACGAGGTGAAAAGTGGGTGCGGGATGAGACAGAGCTGAGGGAGACTGAACTAGGGACCTGCCCTTGGGCAGAGAGTTTGAGAGACAAATTATTTGTAAGCACAACTTACAATGCCGGGATTTTCCAAAACTGGGGTGTGATTGAACAATACAGGACGGTCTAAATTCCACATCAGTGATACGCTTACATTTTATTTGAAGCCCATGTGTTTTTTTTAATCACAAAAAAAGTAAGGCTTTTGATAATAATGTGATTTTGGCTGCAGTGTTATTCGCTTTAGCATATTGTCATTGACCCCCAGCGCCGCAGTTGAAACAATAGTACACGTCCACCCGGCAGTATCAACACTGATCCGGGCGCTACGCTGGCGTCGCCACATCCATCCCGCCCCATGTATTCTAGTGGTAGTGCCCTACGCCAATGGTTCCTACTCCAAGCCAGCCTGGCAGCGTTTCCAGCAAATGTCAAGCGAAAAATTAAAGCCCCACACCCACCCCCCCCCCCCCCCCCCCCCGGGCCACAAGCGGATTCGTTCTAACACAAGGAAAGTGAGGCTTGTGCGCGCGGTCTGTGGTTTTACGCGTCCCTGCGTCGTATTTGTTGCGCGTGCAATTAAAACGACGTATCTGATACGGAGACAATCTCTTCCCTTTGAGGTGCAATCACCCGCTCACGAGGGCTCTGATGGATTAGTGTTGTCGCAGGAAGCTGCCTACAAGACAGGAATATCATTTCAAGTTGGAGTACCAGTTCATTTTAGCGAATGCAGGATTATGTTGTACATACATATCCAGTAACTTGTTACCTGACCACACCTGCCATGTCTCACATACGTGGATGGCTCGAGAAAGTTGTCTGTGCAGGCTTGTTTCTTTTTGAGCCTCGGCGAATTGCTTTGCTTTTGAGCATCAAAAGCAAAGCACGCGCACTGGACTTGCGAATCTCAGAGGTCGTCGGTTTGATCTCTCCCGGTGCCACAGTGGAAACAATGAGGCAGGCTTCTTACATACCGTGCGAAAGAAGTGCAACATACATGAGTATCAGAATATTTATTCATACTGGAGAAATCCGATGAGCCATAAAGCTGTTTTTCACAGATGTCCAGGAGTTTTACAGATGTCCAGGAATTTCACAAATGTCCAGGAATTTCACAGATTTCCAGGAGTTTTACAGATGTCCAGGAGTTTCACATATGTCCAGGAGTTTCACAAATGTCCAGGAGTTTCACAGATGTCCAGGAGTTTCACAGATGTTCAGGAGTTTCATAGATGTCCAGGAGTGTCACAGATGTCCAGGAGTTTCACAGATGTCCAGGAGTTTCACAGATGTCCAGGAGTGTCACAGATGTCCATGAGTTTCACAGATGTCCAGGAGTTTCACAGATGTCCAGGAGTTTCACAGATGTCCAGGAGTTTCACATGTCCAGGAGTTTCACAGACGTCCAGGAATTTCACAGATGTCCAGGAGTTTCACAGATGTCCAGGAGTTCCACAGACGTCAAGTAATTTCACAGACGTCCAGGAGTTTCTTAGATGTCCAGGACATACATACTCCTCCACCTCTGTCCACCCAGCAGCCTAAATGGGTTCACCACAGGTAGTCGATCAGCAGGTCGTATGTGGCGCGTGTGGGGTATTCCGACTGCCACCAAAACGTCTGGTCAGCATGCACATGTAGACCAACTCACACGAGAGGGGATCTCTAGAGCTGCCTCCAGTGGAAGCCCTTCTACCAGCCGTCGTAAGAGCAACACTGTTGCAGGGCTGCACCTTGACATTTTACCCTCACTGTCATAAATGGTATGCTGCTCCCCTGAATATTGCAGTGCTCGGGTTTTGCGTACTCATGCGTCCCAAATCTGCTCTGTCAGATTACATAAATATATAAAGGTATATATATGAGTTATCTGACCTTGGTGCATGCCAGTTGCTACACATAACTCCAAAATGGGTAATCACCAAAGGAATTGTAACGAACCAGCTTTGGGCAAAGCACACATGGTCTGTGATTTTTACTACAGCTAGTTAGCATTGCAACAATCAACCTCCCCTGGAGATAAATTGAATTGCTATGATTCAGCATTTGCCATTTTGCTCACTAATATATTATTTTGTATTTCAGCGAATAGCAGGCACTATGGTTGCTGCAGGGATTTAGTCACATGTGCCCGTTGTGTACCATACATCACGATCAGCCATGATCTATCCACTGCTGAATGAAAACCTCCCCATGCCACTGCCATCTCTTACGGTCTTGCGATGCAACAATTCATCCAGCACCTGCACACGAGCTGATTCCATTTGCTCCATCTCCACGAAGGAATGTCCTCTTGGGTGTGGCCTCAAAGTGCACCTAGCATGCAAGCGCAGTGGTGACGTCACCGCCACTTGGTGGTGATCGGCGGTTGTGTTCTCTCCTTTTGCCGCCACTCCCTCGTTAGTCTCGACCACCGTCCATCGTCCCTTCTAGAGACACGTTCTGCCTAAGTCCACTTATTTTTACTATAGCATTAAACTATATATATATATTTTTTTAAATATATGAATGCAAATTCACGTATTTTTATACTTGTGATTCAATGCACGCATCGTGAGATTATACATTGTTCCGGTACAGGTCGTAAGGCTGTCCTCAAGCATTATAGCAAGACTGGTTGATTCAACCCCAACACTGCAAGCGGGAATATACCCTCGTCAGCCTACTGGACGGTGTATGAATGTTGTTGACAATTTATATTTTGTCACTTGTGCGTACATTTATTTAAATTGCTGGGTCATTGCGCAAGTTGTATCATCACAGTTCGTAATGTGCACCAAAAGGTTCGGTCACTGTTCTCATGTTCCTTCTCGTACGACTTTATGGGGTAAAAGACAGATTTTTGCGAGACCTTGTGGAGAAAAGAATTAAAAGGCAAGAAAAATATAATTGCAAAACCGTTATATAATAAAAACAAATTTAATAAAAAGAACATTGAAGATGTATCAGGAGAAGATGAAAAAAATAATTGGTGTTCGTCTAATTAATGCCCTTTTGCCTTTTATAAAGCCATCCAAATATGAACGCAATTACTACCGGTTTAATAAAAAAATTGTCATGACAAAGAAATTAATCTTCATTATCAAAAGCTATTGGTTAATTTCAGTACTTTAGTTTGTTCCTAATTGTACATTTAAATCCATACAATGAGGTAGTGGACACCTTGGTCTCCAGAGAAGCTGAAAAAAGCACTAATGTTCCTAATTTGTATTCATATTTTAGTGTTTTAATTATCTCAATTAATTTGGTACCAAACCATGCAATTTTTCTGCATAATGTAGTTCTCTGCATATGTTTTTGTTACCGGCATTGATTATCTTATAATTAAAACGGGATAATTTTTTAACGCTTAACCTTTTTGAAGGTAAAAAAAAATGTGATCCATTGTAAAAGTATTTAAAATTAGTTTTGTTTTAATGACTCATTGCAACAGTACTAAAGTGACACGGATCTTTTTTACATTTGTTAATTGTGCACAAATAAATTCGCACTTTTTTGTCCCTTAGTGAAGGCTGCCCATTTGCCAGGCATTGCTCATCCGCCTAATGTCTATAGACAAGTGAGGGTTACAGTATGTGCCAAAGCACACGCTGCGTGTATGAATGCAATGCATTATCAGTGTCGGTGCAATTCCTTCCTAAGAGCCAGGCTTCCCGGCAACGACGAGATTTGCAATTAAATTGAAATTGCTTTTCCCACTCTTTCAGCCTATAGTTGATGAATCGCAAAAAGATTGACGCGGGCACCTGCACAGAATCAGCACTTTCTCTTTCGCCCTCTCTCGTTCGTTTGATCGTATTTATTTTATCGGCAGCACGAAAGCTAAAGGCCGCACCCAAGAAATAGTGCAGAAATTGTACCAGCCCCTTTACGCATTTCTGCGCTCGCCTGATGAGGAACGCGTTCTTCTGAATATTTATTTATTTATTCTGAGCCAATTTGTGACATTGTCTCGGAGATAGCAGCGCGGACGGTGGGGGTGGGGGGGGTTGTTGCTTCGAGTTCAGAAATTGCTATCGAGTATTTTAAAATAATTGTGGAAGAAAAGCCTTCCACAACAATGCCGGCATTGTAAGATGAAGGAAATTGATTTTGTTAGTTTAAAGGCACAGTGTATGTCAAGTACATTTTGAGAAAATGAATCGTGCATGTGAGCTGTGGGTTGCGCTCCATGCGCTATGAATCTGACGACCTGAGCTCCATTCCTATCGCAATGGTTAACATTCATGGAGAACGATTTCTTTACCAGTCCTGGTGCCTATCCCAGGTCGATTAAGCCTTAAATAAGTATCTGGTGAGGTTTGTTAAAACATCAGCACCTGGGAGACAAAGGCGACCGGGCATTATACTGGCCACACCCCCCAAGTCTCCAAGGCTTTCAGTTGCAAATGATGCATTGTGATCCCTGGATGTGTTGCTGTCTCTATGCAATCCATCATTTGCGTTTACGCACAGTTGTACTGTATCGTTCCCACAGTGCGTTTTCCGTTTCCAAATTCCCTTCCATTGTAAAGTTCGCAAGAGCTGCTAACCTGTCCCCAATGCTTATCTAAAAAAACATTTTGATTTAAAGCTTTCGTGACTTTACCGAAAGAACCAAGAATATTAAAAAAAAACATTGTGAAGATGTCCACCTGCATGTCTCATTCGTTTCTCTCCCAACTTCGCCCTTTGCTTCTGTGGCAATCAGATTGGGATCTGAGACAATTTCAGTATGCCCGTGCACCCATAATTCGCAATACACATGTCCTGTGCTCTTCCATTGGCATAATCTAATCTCTCTGTGTTTAAATCTCACCAACAGGTCATATCCGTGGAATTGTTTGTGACTTTTTTTCTTTTGGAACCAAGACAACTAGCCCCTGGATACACGTAATGGAGGTCGGTTTGTATATGTTATTATGTGTAATCTAGATTTGAAGTTTTCGTGACTGCAGGGATCCATACTCATTGGTTCTTTTGGTAAACTCACGTAGGTATAGAATAAAATAAAATCACGATCTTACGACGTCACATTGCAACGCCTAAAAAACAACGTGACAAAAGGTGATCGGTTTATCCACTGGAATAGTGATGCGATGACACACTTTGTAATCCAATTACCAATGATAATTCCTATCCTACAGCATCAGAGTGTGAAATCGTCTATCACCATCTTACTTGAACCCATTATCTCATCTTGCCGATGCCGCAAATCACGATGCTATACCGTTTAAGCTCATGAAAGTGCTCAACCTCACTAACCAAATTAGGAAAGGATTCACGTATACCGATGTGCTATCCTTGTTCAGGTCTTAACGTTAATCCCACATCTTTCTTGCCTGGCTTTCTCCCTTTGTTTTGGTAATCTCGCCGCCAGCAGTAAAACCCTGATTCCACACCAGGGAGAAGGACTGAGTCCGAGAGCCCGATTTAAAGTCAGCAAGCCCCCTATAGTGTCTGGACGGGGGGGGGGGGGGCGACGGTGGGGGGGGGGGGGTGCTGGAGGGTGCTGATCCCCCCTGCTGAAGGCTCAGCTTCCCTTCCTAAAGTGTTATATGTTTTATATATATTTTATTATTTTATTGTTTCCCTTCAACGTGACTTTACCGGAAGAGCTAAGAATATGTTATAGGCAAGTCAACAAATGTTGGTAACGTGTCTCTGTATATAAATATGGGGTGAGAGATGAAGCAGAATGCTTGACATACAAAATAGAGGCCTTATTGGTGCACATCCTGCTGTTGAGCACCGCTGATTTGTCCTTGCTCCGTCACCTCCGATGAGCACGGTTGGCTACGTACGGTGCGAAAGAAGTTCAACATACAAACAAGATTTTTTAAAATGAATTTTAACATTGACTGTGTCATGCCCCCAGCCCCCCCACACACACACACACACAATTTTAGCAAGGTCCCACAACAGGGCTGCATTCACCACAGTGTCTAGGTAGACTGCACAGATGTCATCAAGCCGGGCGATGTCTGAGCTTGAATGGAAAACTTTTGTTGGAACTCGTGTTCATGCCGCTTCCGCGCTAGGAGAACGAACGCTCGGAGAGCATCCTCTGGATTGGAGGTCCAGTGTGCTCAGCATTAGACCATGGAGGCATTCATTGTGAGCAACGTCAGATTATCTAAATGTGAGTGTGTATATACAGTGTTATGGGGGGAAAATGCTTCTTATTCATGGAAGAACCCGAATGTGAAAACTGGCAACAAATGTTATTCGCGCACTTACTCGCTAAAGCACAACAATTGGTGGTATTTAGCCCAGCCAAGGGAGTAGAAGTTCACGTTTCGATATGCGACCCATCTGGCCCACAGGTGTATTGTTACCTATCGGTTGAGGTGACCATTGTGTGCTTCCAGGCAGAGTAATTAATAGACTTGTTGACGCGTGAGATTAAATTTGTCCCGACAATGCAGGATGTTTGTGCATGGCACACACCCTGGAATGTCGAGATGATATTTTCGCATTCGTCTGTTTTACTTTCCATTCGTGCCACTTGAGCAACTTGCAAATTAAGTGCCAAGCATGGGTGAGTTGGGGTATAACTGATATATTCAGATACACATGAGAACCCAAGCAATGTAAATGTGTTAATTATATTTCTTAAAATGTGTCGTCCCATACTAACAACGTTGAATGTCACAGCTACGGCGTTGGCTTTTTACCATATCAAAATGTCGCTCGGCACTGATGTGCTCTGTATATAATTTGCTTACATAATTAACAATATGACTATGTTTTGGCTTGTCTCTCTATATATTTTTTTACTTGAAAATAACAAGTAAGCACAAATTGGCTGTACCCACTTATCTCTTAATAATGTTATTGGCAGCAGCGCAAGAGTGGAAATTGTGTGTGCACTACGAAATAGGCAGGTTATGAGTCATCTCTCGAGCAGATGCAATGAAGCGTTCGACTCAGGATTACAATTTATTTTAAGAATGTATTATTTTTACTGCACACATTTTTTATGGTTTTTTTTTTATCTGCCTTGTTTGTTCAGTTGTGTTTGCACCATTTACCTTAAATGTCACATTCGCATGCAATGTGGACATCATTTGCATGAATTGTAAGGAGCTGATGCGAACGCGTGTTCATTCCAAGATAGCACTGTGAGAGTAGAATGTATTTTAATCAACGTACCAAACGCCTCGTCACATGCTTACTGGGTGACCCACATTTTTAAGTATGTTTAAAAAACAAAAAAAAACATCATCAGAGGCTTTTCAGCGAGAGTGAAAACACTGCCCCCTTTTTTTACCTTGGGTACACAGCCATCACAGATTCCCTCTGTTTGGCAAGAGAGGCAGTGCACATGAGCAACAAGGTGATTCCAAATGAACGCGGCAGTATGCGCTTCGCTTCTCACGAAGGCAATCGGTGACCGTAATTATATATATATTTTTTGTTGTTTAGTGCAGAAGAGCGGACAGAGCAAGGCACACTGACGTGCTGTCGATGAGCCTGAAGTCTGTCCCAAGCCGACAGACCGGGGGTGCAGAGCAGGCCAAGTACCGCCGATTAGCACGGTCTGCTACGTCATATGCGAAAGAAGTTCGACGTACAAGCATACAAGCAGCAGCCTGATTTGCCTCCGCTGCTGTGGCTACGTGGAGAGGTGGCCCACGTGACTCATGAGGCAGGTGAAAGTCAGAAGCCATCGTTTACTCTCCATCACCCTGCAGGGACCTTTTTCTCCGGGAATTTAGATCTCCTGGTGAAGCCATTAGTAATCGTGCAAATCATTGGGGGGCGGTGGCAGGGGGGGGGTTGCTCCTTGTCGGTTGCTGCTCCCACGATCTGGACCTTGTAACAATTTTAACTTCATGCAGATGACACTTTCATTATTGTTATTTGTTTTGCGTTGTTGTTGTTATTATTAGTATTGCTATGATGCTTGTTTACCCAGGAAAAGGCTCACTGAGTCTCGAGACTATTTTTGCTGGATGTTCATGCCGAGTTTTTCGTTTGCCGCGTGTGATCTCTGTTGAGTAATTTGCAGGTAACGTTGCAGCATCGGGATGTTTGGCCAATACCGGTTGAAGTGTATTAGCGTTCTTTTTGTTTGACCATTGGAGGAAATCAGAGAAGCTGAAGGAAAACCATGAAGAACAGGGGGAGAACATACAAACACCACAGAGAAAGGCACTTCTTGCCCTTCTTGCTGTGAGGCACACGTGTTCTGCCACCACTGTTTAGGTGTTTTATGTTCGCAAAAAGCCTCTATTTTTATAAATGTATTTTTAAAAAAATGCATCTCTGCTTTTTTTAATTGTATGCAATTGATTAGTCATGTCAATAGTTATTTTGTTGTAAGGTATCTGGAGTTGTGGGACATTGAAAGAAGCAAATGTGAATTGCCTAATTGAGTAAATGTTCATTTTATTTACAAACCATATAGTCTATGTTGTGTTATTGAATATGTAAAATTGTGATGTAAAGACCAGTGTTTAATATCATCTGGAACAGCCCGGATTGCTGTTTTGGGAATTATTTTGGCACACCACGTCCATCCTCTGAACAGGTTTTTAATAATAGGATTATAGGAATATAGGGTACAATAATATAGGATTATTCTGAATAGGCGTACCTTATACTGCAGCGATAGTGCCTTACACCGATAATCCTTACTCCTCTCCAGCCTAGCGGCATTTAGGAAAATATCGAGTGGCAAAAATAAGCTGTGCTTAGAAGTAATAAGTACCATAGAAACTGAACCAATTTCTATAATAAATACTAAATGTGTGGGTCCAGGGCGATATAATGTTGTGTTTACAATCTCAGGCACATTTTTCTTTCGGTAAATATCATCACACTGGCTCCAACCAGGCCTGGCAAACGTTGTTTCCGTTGGCAGTAGCAACGGAAGATGTGAAGGAATGAGGGCCCACTGAGATAGCATTATTATCCTACACTGGTGGGTCCATAAAATATCTTCTCGACAGGGCTACTCATGAGCCCGACGGCCCTGTCAAGGTGACCGCAATCTCTGAACTCCCTCGGTTCCATCCCTCGAGTTGCCCCTGAGTAAGACACAAGAGGAGTTTCCATGCACGCTGAGTGAGTTGGATCGCCCACGGCCAACAGCTCGAATTTGGTTCGGAGTGGTAACGCAGCGATTGGCGGTATTCCACATTGAAACCAGCGACATTGAGTTTGGTGCAATCAATTTCTACGTGATAAACCACTTTGTTGAGCTATAATTTGTGGCCAGATCGCTTCTGAAAAAGAGCTATACAGTTCAGTGGGCCTTACCTCGTAAAATAAAAAAAAATTGTTGAGTTTTTAGTTTAATGTCCATATTGGAGTGCAGGTCACAGCGATACACTTAAAAAAATAACCAGAATAGAAGTTTCTGGCCCAGGATAATGTAAAATTAATTGACAGATAGGGTAGACAACTTGGAAGTATGACACGTGGGAGGCTTTCGCGACCAATATCATCCATAATAGAGGTTTGTTGGGTTAGGTCGCGTAAATATATTAATGTGTCGTTAAAACCCACCACCACCTGACACAGCCAACTAGTAAGGATTGTCACGTAAATAGAACGTGGCCAATTCGTCACTAGTACAGCATCACCGGTGCGTTGGAGAGCCAAGCCACAACATTTACAATCTGAGTAACGACGTTTCGCCAGCAATTACAACTAGCTTCATCAGGCGACAGCCAGATTTGTGAAGTCCACCTGTTTTGTTCCTTGTATAGAGGCGTAGATGTGGAGAACAAACTTCTGCGCTCTTGAGTTAACGTACATTATGCATGCGCATTTTGCGGGCCCATTGATCTTGTCCTTCCTGTCCATTGTGTGTATTAAAATATCTGTACCAACGGTAATCCCTACTGAAGTATGGTGGCCTGTATAGGTGGCCTATATTGGCCACCATTCTTGGAAGTAGCCTGCAAAAGAAACACGTCGAGAAGATATTGATGTTGTGTCAGCAAAAGGGGTATGCGATGGTTGGGACCTCTGTGCTGGGTGGATGTTGGCAGGTTACTGAGACAGGTGTTGCAGTAGCACCCAGAGGTCATCAACCAAGAGGAAGACCTAAAGCCAAAAAGTCCGATGCTGTGACAGTGGACCCGGGAGTTTGGGTGTTACGTTTGCAACAACTGTTGAATCTGGTCGAAGGAAGTAATACCCCGGTTTACTTCAGCGATGCATTCGTGAAAGGCGCGAGGGCGAATATCGAAACGACGTCGATCAAAGCGACTTACAGGGTAGGTGGTGTAGGCGTCAGCGACGTGAGTGTGTGGGGTTGAGGCGACACAAATCGGGTAGCGGTGTTGATAATAAAGTGACGACGTATTTGTGAAACGGCGTAAAAGGGCGAGACGTAAGACGGGGTAGGACCGTAGGTCAAAGGTGTTGTGGCATCAATTAAGTTGGCCTTAATGATGCCTCAAAATTGACATTAATTTGACCTTGTGCATTGTCATGATTACAATTTGAGCTTAAGATTACAGTAATCACAAAAATCTACGTAGCATTTTTTGTTTACATTAGACATTGGTGTCATTTATTGTTCAGTATTTCAGTTTCACCATCAAAATGTGTCACAGCGTGTTATGCATCAGCATGCTTAATTAATGACCATACAATGTCGCGGCAACATTTATTAATCCGTGTCAATAATGTTCAGCAGCCAGAGACATTTCTTATGAAACCCTCCCCTCCCCCCCCCCCCAAAGGTATCCAGTCCATAGATGTTGCATGAGTGTTCTAGAATATGCTGCTTCCATGTGGCGCAAAGCCCCCTTTTTTTGCAAGGGCACGGGAAGATACCGTCGCTCGCATTGCCCTGACTTGCACGCGTTCAGAGATGTCAGTGGGTGTGCTTTTGGATCAATTCCGCTGACTTTAGTCAAGAAGACTCACATCGATTAGAATGGGTAAAGCTGTTTGAGCCATTATTTGCTGCGCTCATGTCTGCAGAGTGGCAGATGGGAGGATCGGGAAGGTGGCATTCGTCAGTCGATGGAAAACTAGAGATCAAACACGCTACATGTCACAGTAAATATTGTAAACTTTTCTTCACTTGGACCGAATAATTTCTCACTCGGTATTTCCCAGAACGCTGCTATGTTGGCTTGGAGAAGGAATTGTCACCGTAAGGCACTCCCACTTCAGTCAAATATTTGCCTATCCATAATAATCCTGTATTCCTATAATCCTATTTTAAAAATTGTATGCATGTACTTACCAGAATAAATTAGCCATATTTAAACCCGTGATGTTTTCCAGTCACAAATAGTTCACATTAAATATATGTTTACTTCCAGACAGCGCAATGTGATGCGATTACTTTCTGCTTACAGTACATGCTTGTTTATCAAGGCAACGCTTCGTAATGTCAGTGCTTACACTGAAATAGAGAAAACATACACTGGGATTACAGAGTATAAATAAACTAATGTTTAAATCGGGATGGTAAAAAAACAGCCTCTAAAACAGCTATTAGAAGAAACGGCCTAAAAAAAGAAATAGTGTGAAACGTGTGATTAAAACTGTTCCGGGAGTTGGATTGAACGTTATTGACTCGTAACATTATTTAAAACTTGTCTTTTTGAATATAATCATTTCATTCGTAGTGATGATCATTTCATTCATATTACTGTACAATTAACTGTATCCTACCAATTATTAGGACGTAGTACAGAAATGGGTTCCTATTTGATAGTTATTCGTCAATTAATGGCTTTTCTCTGGACATATTCTTTGATTCTTTCGGTAAAGTCACGTAGATATAAAAATAAAGTGAATAAAAAATAATATAAAATAAAATAATAATGATAAAATACAAAAAACCACTAATGTAGACTGTGGCCTGGTTTTTAATCGGAGTGAGTGTACTGGCAGTCTATAATGTAGACTGTCGCCTGGTTATTAAGCTGGGTGAGTGTACTGGCAGTCTATAATAATGTCGACTGTAGCCTGGTTATTAACCTCGGTAGTCTACATTATAGACTGCCAGTACGCTCACCGAGGTTAAGAACCAGGCTACAGTCTGCATTATAGACTGTCAGTACACTCACCTAAATTAATAACTAGGCTGCAGTCTACATTATAGACTGCCAGTACGCTCACCGAGGTTAAGAACCAGGCTACAGTCTGCATTATAGACTGTCAGTACACTCACCTAAATTAATAACTAGGCTACAGTCTACATTATAGACTGCCAGTACGCTCACCGAGGTTAAGAACCAGGCTACAGTCTGCATTATAGACTGTCAGTACACTCACCTAAATTAATAACTAGGCTACAGTTTACATTATAGACTGCCAGTACGCTCACCGAGGTTAATAACCAGGCTACAGTCTACATTATAGACTGCCAGTACACTCACCCAGCTTAATAACTAGGCTATAGTCAACATTATTGTTTTTTTGCTTTTATGTTTTATTTTATTTTTATTCACTTTATTTTTATTTTTCTATCTACATGACGTTACCAAAAGAACCAAAGAACATCAATTCCTGCAGTCACGAAAGTTTTGAGTAAAAACTTTATGAGGACACTTGTATTCTAGCACTTTAATATATATATACTGTACAGTATTAGTGGGTTTTGGCATAGAGACCCGCAGAAAATGTTGACATTTTTGGATTATCCGCGATTTTTTATTATCTGCGGCTGCCTCCCCGTCATTAGCACGGATAATCGAGAGTCTCCTGTATATACTTTAAGAGGAATTGGTCAAATATTCCAGGGAAAGAACCTCCTGAAAATAATAATCAGACTTAAGGAGACTCAAATGTAATCAAATAAGTTATATATATGAATATTTAAAAAAAATAATGGTTGCTAAGCACAAGCTCAAATACCCAAACATCAAGCAGCCAGCAACAAAAGAGAACGACAGTGAGGGAAAAAAAAGTATTTGATCCCCTGCTGATTTTGTACGTTTGCCCACTGACCAAGAAATGATCAGTCTATCATTTTAATGGTAGGTTTATTTGAACAGTGAGAGACAGAAAAACAACAACAAAATCCAGAAAAACGCATGTCAAAAATGTTATGATTTGATTTGCATTTTAATGAGGTAAAAAAGTATTTGACCTCTCTGCAAAACATGACTTAGTACTTGGTGGCAAAACCCTTGTTGGCAATCACAGAGATCAGACGTTTCTTATAGTTGGCCACCAGGTCTGCACACATCTCAGGAGGGATTGTGTCCCACTCCTCTTTGCATATCTTCTCCAAGTCATTAAGGTTTCGAGGCTGACGTTTGGCAACTCGATCCTTCAGCTCCCTCCACAGATTTTCTATGGGATTAAGGTCTGGAGACTGGCTAGGCATCTTCCGGACCTTAATGTGGTTCTTCTTCAGCAACTTCTTCAGCCACTCCTTTGTTGCCTTGGCCGTGTGTTTTGGGTCATTGTCATGCTGGAATACCCATCCACAACCCATTTTCAATGCCCTGGCTGACGGTACATGGCCCCGTCCATCGTTCCTTTGATGCGGTGAGTTGTCCTGTCCCCTTAGCAGAAAAACACCCCCAAAGCATGTTTCCACCTCCATGTTTGACGGTGGGAATGGTGTTCTTGGGGTCATAGGCAGCATTCCTCCTCCTCCAAACACGGCGAGTTGAGTTGATGCCAAAAAGCTCCATTTTGGTCTCATCTGACCACAACACTTTCACCCAGTTGTCCTCTGAATCATTCAGATGTTCATTGGCAAACTTCAGACGGGCATGTATATGTGCTTTCTTGAGCAGGGGGATCTTGCGGGCGCTGCAGGATTTCAGTCCTTCACGGCGTAGTGTGTTACCAATTGTTTTCTTGGTGACTATGGTCCCAGCTGCCTTGAGATCATTGACAAGATCCTCCCGTGTAGTTCTGGGCTAATTCCTCACCGTTTTCATGATCATTGCAACTCCATGAGGTGAGATCTTATATGGAGCCCTAGGCCGTGGGAGATTGACAGTTATTTTGTGTTTCTTCCATTTGCGAATAATCGCACCAACTGTTGTCACCTTCTCACCAAGCTGCTTGGCAATGGTCTTGTAGCCCATTCCAGCCTTGTGTAGGTCTACAATCTTGTCCCTGACATCCTTGGAGAGCACTTTGGTCTTGGCCATGGTGGAGAGTTTGGAATCTGATTGATTGATTGCTTCTGTGGACAGGTGTCTTTTATACAGGTAACAAGCTGAGATTAGGAGCACTCCCTTTAAGAGTGTGCTCCTAATCTCACCTCGTTACCTGTATAAACGACACCTGGGAGACATAAATCTTTCCGATTGAGAGGGGGTCAAATACTTATTTCCCTCATTAAAATGCAAATCAATTTATAACATTTTGACATGCGTTTTTCTGGATTTTGTTGTTGTTATTCTGTCTCTCACTGTTCAAATAAACCTAGTATTAAAATTATAGACTGATCATTTCTTTGTCAGTGGGCAAACGTACAAAATCAGCAGGGGATCAAATACTTTTTCCCTCACTGTATGGGTTTAATGGATGACAGTTAATTTACGTTTCTTGAATTTAGC